CACTACAGCAAACGCTTACCCTCCTACTTTTGCCAGTGAGCATGCTTCACTTGCGTACATTGCTGCCTACAAGACAGTGGTACTAAATAGGCAAATACAGTCCTTTCAATGCGAATTTTTCAAAAAAATCGACGAAGTCTTAAAGCTAACAGCAAGTAACAGTCCAGATTCATAAGCAATTAGCTGAACACATAAAGCCAATACGAAGCATTTTAAAGCAATAAGCAACAGCAACAACGCTACCTTATCATCCTCAGCAACGGACTTTGGCGGTACAATTTTGGCGCATTTATCGAAATTGACACCCAATTTGTCGACCACTTCAGCCACCGGTATGTCACGATGTGGAACAACTATGCGGAATCCAGTGGAACTGAGCTTTTGCGGCAAACATGAAGGTGCAGAATGTTTGGACGATACCCGCGCATTCAGGACTTTCCCAGGAGGAACTTCTTTTAGAGGGAATATGTGCCCTAAAAAATGAGTTATGTTTTGAAGATTTTTTTTTTTTGGGTATTAATAAAAAAACAAAAGCAAAGCGCACGTTGTACAGCACCATTTATGTGCATTTGAAAACCAAAAAATAACGCCGCCACCGGGTCGGCGCTCTGTTCTGGGCTCACAGTGGATGAATGTAATAAAATGCACATGACTGGCTTTTATTTTGATATGTTATTCTGACTCAGTCATCAGGTAAAATGTTGTTTGTTTTATTCAGAAATTGCAATGGCAGTCTGTGTCATGACTAAGATTATGAGGGGAAAAAAGACATTTTTGGCTATAATATTACAAAACTGAACACGGACGATTGAACAACACTTACTTTGGTCGCCAGCGCCGTCTATATCGGCGCTTCCATCGACTGCAAATGACTGGACAGACGATGCCGATTCTTGTGGGAACAAAAAGTGACAATTCTCCGGAAAACTAGTATTCGGCTCATCGTTGTACTTCGTTATAAACCGGTAACTGGAAATATGGAGAGAGCTTTTAAAGAAGCAACATTTAATGTACAACATACGAAAATCAGCCACAAGCTCAGCTTACACTGGGTGAGGTAAACTCAAATGCAAGCTTTTCGAAGTGTTCTGAGCAACAGCTCCTTGCCAACACTAGCCACCCCCATTGTGAGGCTACTGATGGTTCTTTTCTTCTACGGTTTGCCTTAGAATCACTAAGTTACAGATGGTCTGACACTTCAGGAAGCCAGATAAAATAAACCTAATGAAGCAGAAATCTATAAATTTTTTTTTAAACGCAAAAAAAGCAAACATACCAAATATGTTTTGGGAATTCCAAAGACATTTCTCGTTTGAACCGTGATTTCATGTATTCTTCGAACCCCTGAAAACAAAAAAAAAAAAAAACCATAAAAAATAAATGTTCGACAAGCCCTTTCGGGAACAAACAAAAACACATACACTAGTATCTTTCGAAGACGATGGCAGATCTGCTGACGCAACACTACGCGTTGTCGATTCTTTCGCCGACATTACACTAGCTGGACGAGAGCGTCCAATGCGAGCCGTGGAAGCACACGTTGAAAGGCCTTAATTGATTGAACATATAAGGTTCTACTTCTTTGCTCTAGCCTTTAACAGAGTCAAAAAGATGGAGCGATATTAGAACAGAATTTATAACTAGAAAATAAACAGCATCACAGTGCTCAGAAGTGGAAGCAACATAAATAAACAGCGGCGCGCACCAGGATAGCCCATGCGATCATGCGTTTTGTGCAATTCCGTTCACCGAACAATCGTTACCTGCTAATGATTTTCACTGCTCAGAATTTAAAAACTGAGGAGTTGCACGTGGGCAAGGAACAGTCACCCAAAATTTCAGCTCTCTAGATTCTGCGGTTCCCGAGATAATAATTTCCCCAGCCAAAACTTTTACGGGGTTACACGTGCTATCCGCAGATACGGGGAAATTGCATTTAAATTTGCAGGGTCACACATGGGCGGGAAGCATACCTCTAAATTTGCAGCTCCTTAGCTTTTGTGGCTTCCGAGTTGAAAATTACGGACAAGTTGCTGCGGACACACACACACAGACAACTTCGTGACAATATGCGTTTTGTACTGTTGTTACACAGCACAAAACGCATAAAAAGAAACATACTTGCGCAGCTTTTCGATTCATCATCATCTTCCGATGAACTCGTTTCTCCAGCATTGTCGGGTACGATTGACATTCGTACGAATGGACTCATGTGCATTTTCTGAATAATTTTTTTTTTTGGTCAACATAAAGAAAAAGCAAAAACGACAAAATAAGCACAAAAAAATAAGACCACGTGAACTTGAATCAGCTGCTAAATTCAACATCAAAGTCAAAGCAGAAGACTGATTACCAGGCCGCGCAACCAGAGAAGCTGGAGGCTGATTAGGTGGGGAAAAAAAAAACCCTAAAAAACACCACCTTGCATAAATCGATGAGTTTTTTCGTCAAGTTCCTGTCTTTGTACCAGTTATTATTCAGATTCAGCGCTGATTCTGGGCTGAAACAATTTTGTTCACTGGGAAAACTGAACATGAAAAATTTCAGGAATTTCTTTTTTTTTTTTAAAATTCGTCATGGCGCGCTGAATTTTCGAATGCATCGATGTATACAAAGCTGTTAAGTACCACACGTTGCCGGCGGTAAATTCAGTCAAATGCTAATTTTGTTGTCGTGATTCTCTTAGTCGAACACTGAAGTTTTCTCACTTAGCTCAATCTGAGTTCGCACTCACTTTCTTCCGTAGAAGCTTTTAAGTGGAACCTTTTATACCGCTGCGGATCTTTTTCTTAATATTCATCTAACACTGAATGAGTGCCAAACAACAATCCATCTTGTCATCTGTTATCTCACATTTCTATGAGCTT